CTTATGCGGCGCCCTATAATGACATCGCGCTGTCTGGCTACTCCGTTCAGAACGGGTAGCGACTCCGTTGCTGACTGGTGTGTTCGTCATCGTTTCGTCGATCTTCCTCAGCCGTTGTTGTGCTTCTGTGACCTCGGCTGGCAGAGGGGCGATGTGTATGCTCTGATCGCCCTCTTTTCACAGCCTGCCTCAGTCCCTCAACAGCCCGCGTGGCTCCTGCTGACCTGGACGAAGACTGAGCCGGTGTAATGCTCGATGACAGCAGTGTAAGAGGCAGGTAGCTAGATTTTACTGAGAAGTAGCTACGGTTTGCATCGTTACTCCTTTCTCATCCGGATTTGTCACCGGCAAAGGCGGGCTTAGGGTTTGTTTGTTAAGCTAAGCTGTGGGATAACATGAATTAGATTTTTATTTTTTCCTAGGTAAGTTCGTTCTTTAACAGGCATAATTGAAAGTATCGATTTCCCTCCTTTTCGGATTCCTTTGGAGCATTAGCTACGAACTTCGTACAATTAATTGAACTTTGAATCTAGCGAAAAATAACATGAACAATCCCGCAAAAGAGGCGAGGGAAAATTTATAGCCATCTGCACTCCATTATGGCTATTATTATTAGTTGTTGTTATGGCTCCGCTAGTGGTTTAGCCGGTTTCAATCCGGGTCTCTGCTTTCCAGCTATGTCTATCCTTCTTTGCCAGTTAAATCCAGTTCGTCCTTTCCCACTGTTTTTTACGCTTGAACTGTAGGCCAAGTGATGACTTATTTGCGTTAAAATATTAAGGCATTTGTTTTCTTGACCTTTTCTCGCCAGTTTTTAAACAGGCCGGAAGAGAAAAGAAGGCTAATTACAAATAGCAAACGATGAGTTGTTAAGCGAACATTTATTTTTGTCTTATTTGTGGGTTTTGATGATTATCTTCCGCAACCTGTTCAGATTAAGCTTCTGTTTGTAATTCTGTGGTGAGACCATTTTCTGTCGATAATTACTACCGCTGCCCTTGCAACTAATCAATCCCAGTTTCGGTCGCAAAGCTAATCAGCGTGCCATCATCATACAAGATACTCAATTTACTCGGTTAGGAGTACGTGTCTGTTCTCCAATCATTAATGAGTAAAATATTTTGAGGAGCCAACTCCTTAATTTTAGACATCGTCAATCAACGAAAGGCAGATCTATTGAGCTTACTATATTTGACAAGATGAAAGAAAACAACAAAAATAAAGCATAAGCAATTTACAAATTCAAAACCAACTATACGAGACGCTGAAAACGTCTTATGATGATTCCCATCAGAACACCTAGCCCATTTGAACAGGTCACAGACATATGTTTACCGTGTGGGCGACTTTCGGCTTCATCCCTTTCGGAAGTTTGACTTGACCTTGATTTCGAGGACTCACCGTAGGGTTTGACTATGCGATGGGGGCAGCATTTGACAAACATCTAGAGTAAGTCTTTGAAGTTTGTTGAACTCTCAGGGGCAAGTTTACTGCAGCGTGCGAGTTTCCGCCTTCCGGTTTTTAACGATAGTTTGGAAGATTAGTTTTATCTAAAAACTAATTAACAGGACATAAATATTTTATGCATTGATTTTGACGCTTGTCGCGTCGTTTTACGATCGATTGTCTGGTCTCTTAGTCTTGTTACAGCGCTTCCGTTTTCCATCGACGTTCGCCTCCCGCTGGGGCCGCATGAACCGCGCTTGACATGCGACCAGCGCCTCGCAGGGAGGTCTGTTCTCTCTCACACCGTCCTCGTCGTTCATAGATATGATGGCCAAAGTTCCGCTTACGATAAACGCTCCTCCATTGTGACAGCCGTTCGTGCCCGATGCCAAGTGAACCCGTAACTGTGTCAGCCACCTGAACATCAGCCGGCTGACTGCACATGTCGTGTGGCGAAAAGGAAGTCTCTTACAACGGGGTGGACAAATTTCATGGTCAACAGATACTGTAGATGACGGTACCTGATTACCTCGAAAATAGTCTATTGTTGGACGAATGATCTTTGTTTGTCCAAAACCATACTGCCCTTCATTACCCAGTAAACACCTTGAGATGAAAGACTGTAAAGCCAACCTTATGCTCACTCCGGACAAAGAAAAAGAAAAAAGAACTTCATATATTGATCTCTCTAACAGTTCATATTTGTTCAATCAATCTTTCACGCAGTTCAGAGCGAAGGCCTGACTTCCAATTTCAGCCCTTAAGGAATATCATAACGACTAAGGCAACAGCTACAGCTATGACATCATAATAGAGTGTAATTTGTTGCATTTGTTCCATCTAATGATACTCAATTTTACATAAAACATGAATGAAACACGACTGATTGAATTAATACTGAACTAGTCATTCTTCAGCCGAAGGGTTCAAAATTTACAGAGAGCAACGCCAAAAAGAAACATTCTTATAGTGCCTTGAAATGTTATCGAGAACCTCACAGCGATAACATAATGGGGGAGTATAAATATGGACTAACAACTTACACTTAAGTACTTAAGCACAGCTTGACTGCTACTAAAGTATTTCGAGTACGAATACTTAAGTACAGTTCAGCTGTTACTTAAGCTGGACTTAAGAACTCGAAGATTAATAAGGATCATAAGTCGTGCCGGTGGTGAAGCAGGGTATGATTGCATGATGCAGTTTAACTCATTGAAAGATTATAAGTTTTTGATTGGGGCGGAGAAAGTAGCTGAGCCAGACGCATTACAGCGCTGGGTTACTCTTACCTGTGAATGTCGTCGTAACAATCATTCATTTTGACATAACTACAGTAGAAGATGACGCTCTCCGTGCTTTCGCATTCAGTAGTTTCATACTCGTTTCTAAACCGGTGACACTGAAGCAATATAAGGTGAATTCCTTGCTTAAAGGAATGAACGTTTAAACAATATTTAATGGATATGAACCCGGCAGAGCAGAAGCTTGCGATTGATCTCTTGCTGTTGCTCCAATGTCCCATTCCTCACCCATTATGCTACGCGTTCTTCGTGCTTTTAGCCGATGAATTGATGAACTTCATATAGTGCTAATAATATCAACATTTATACCTCTGCTTCAGGAGAATCTATCTCGTTCTTATTTAGTTCTTATTTAGCACAATATTAACTTACAGTAGTCCTGTTTTATCAGGTGTTCGATAATGCAGGGGAAAATTGAGAGATGACAGTGGCCATCTGGAAAGTTAACCAAGGTTTCTGGTGCAGTCCGTAACAGTACCTAATCCTAAGGACATCTTTGAGAGCTCTAAAATTTCTCTGATTTTACATATCTGTTTCTGATATTAGATTTACTCACCAGAAGCGCATCACTTCGTTGCTTCTAGTTGTCAAATGGCTTCACGCCAGGCAGGCATTTAAGCAGGCCACGGCATCATGGCATTTGAATACCTGCAGTGGATTTAATGCAAAACCTGATTTTTTGATCCCCTGAAAAAGAGGCGTTTTCGAGCACCTACTAAATCTGCCACCACCCGTAGGCAAATATGTGGACAAAATATAGCCCTGAGGATTTGAGGTAGCTGCTACTCAATAGCTTTCCAACTACATTGGCAAGCATAACGTTTCAATTTGTAATACCGTTATGCTTTGAGTTTCGACGCTGGTATACTGATTTCGTATTAATGAAATAATCTCATGGAACTGAGCCGCCATTACCGATTGTATCAAACCTCCGAGATACCTGCAGCTTTTCGTTGGTTAAATGGAATTATTAAAGGAAACAATTTTTCATCAACAGCATAGTCTGGATATTGACATATAAAAAAATAATCATTTTTCAAAGTGATACCAGAGATCTAAATGCAAATATTTTGACTACATTGTCATTCCTGGGACATTGAGCATAGCCAAAGTGCTGCACAGAATCCAGTTAATTTCCATTTCTTCTTCTTTTTCACATCAAACGTCAGGTATAGCCAGAATTTGCCCTTCACAGAGTTTATGCCTCCACTTTTTTTTTGTTCAGATGGATGATGGCGGGATGAAAATGTTGCATAACGCTTTATTTTGGCATCAATGCGGGCAAATCATTAGTCGCAACACGTTCCACCCGGGTTTGCAAGCAAGGCAAATTCTTTAGGAGGGAACTTCCGTTCACCTCTCATAGTTCCGGCTACCAGGGCTTCGCTAGCTAACTGCTTAAGAATACGGCAAAATCTCATGTATATTAAGATGAACTTGTTTTTTTTCATCTGATTTATCCTCTTTGAGGGTAGATAACGAAATCCAACCGATATACCTCATTTCCTAATACCTTATTTGCTCTCTGGTCCCACAACTGATAAACTTATATGAACTTTAGGAATAGTCGAATTCGGATCACCAGACTGTGGGTTCTATTCAGAAAGATGTGGTAGGCTATATTGATTTTGCAGTCTTTCTTCCTTCATTGGGTTTCTCGAATTATCGCCGAATCTCCTCAACCCTCATCTCCATCCCAACAGTTTCAGAGAAGCGAACATCTTGCGAAGTTAGATAATCATGATTTTATGTTGATGAACATCTCGAAATAAACAATAATCATACCTGGCATGCCTGCTCATTATACAGTGGCAATTTTTTGCTGCGTTTCAAGGGTACAGATTTCAGATCTGCGCTATGAGAAGACAGAATCGCCCGGTTTCGCCATGGAGGAAGTATGACGCAGTACCTCCTCTTTAGCCGCGTGGGTTCTCTCGGCTCCCTCTAACGGCCAGCTAACGACATAGTGACGACTGAAACCAAAACAACCTCCTCAAGTGATTAAAGCAAAATTTTTAATAAGCTATATTACACAAAGCGATTAAGAGCCACAACTAGATTTATGCTTAAAATGCTAATCGCGTATATTCCTGACGATCGTTTGGTATAAATAAATATGTGACTTCTAACTGTTCCGTCCAGGTTAATAATAAAAAGTCTTCTTCCAGGAGCGTTTATCCTAAATAATGAAGTTTTTTCTGTCTCCGCCATCACTGATTGGCTGGCTGAGAATCACAGGAACTGCCAGTCATTCAGCCTTCACGCCGTCTACACGGAGTACCGAAAATATTTCTTTATTTATCCGCTGCATGTCTTCCTGTGATGCAATCATTCTCGCAATTTCATTCCTTGCTCAGTCCCTACATCTCGATGTGAGGACTAATTTCTGAGACCGCAAAACTAACTATGAATTCAAAACAGGATTGACCATCAGTCATACTTCATTTGCTTATTTCAGATGCCTATGTAATTAAGGTTCTGTTCGGGCTGGTCCTCGAAGTGAAGCGGGACCCTCCTGTGGTACGTGAGGCGGCGCGGTTGTCCGACACTAGCCAAAATTCCTTCCTCAACCTAAACCTCAAAAAATGCTCCATTTCTCTGAATCCGTGGTTCTGGAAGAAGAACGAAGCGCACGAAGCTTGACCTCCAGAATGAGCAATTAGTCACGTCGAAGAACTACTCGCAATAATGCTCGAGATGCGGAAAACACGGTCGGAAAAAAACTAAGGGCGGTTGTAAATTTTTGTTCATCAACAAACGCCCGGATACACGTTACAAATCATATTCTCGAAGTGAAAACTATCGCTGTTAATTTGCCAACCCTTGCAGGAGTGTTTGATAGTTTAAAAGGAGCCAATCTTAAAATTTTCTTTTCAATAAGGCAAAAGAAGGTTAAAACAGCCCGCAGTGTAATTGCTACCTTACGTAGGAAACGACGCCGTGTTGGGCTAATTAAAACGCGACGCTGTGACATGCGCTATGAAAGAACGTGGTTTCCGTTTTTTGATTTATTCTCTTTTTATGCATATTGTGACGCTTCTTAAAGCATACGTTTTTTCGTGACTTTTTCCGGTGCCAGACGCCTGCTTGCCCCTGCCGTGAGGGCGCTTTGTCTGCGCGGTTTTTCTTAATTGTTGGAAGTTTTTGCTCAGTGGCCAAGGTTCACGCCTGGTATGGAATACATGTGCGTAAGCGGCACCTTGAAAAGAAATTGTTTTTGAGTGTCAGATGTTGTGGAATGACGGCTGGCCTGCTGCGAACTTAGTCAATAGTCAAAAGCGGTTAAATCCAGCCTTGGAATTAGTTCCTTGTCCCGTACCTGTAATTATAATAAGAGTTCATGCTCAATGAGCATGTCTGCATTTGCCGTTGAAATCAGCA